TTTTTTCACAAAAATTATACTTTTATGTGTATTTATGTTAGAATATCTAAAAAGTAAAAAAAATTACTTAAAATATTAAAAAAAATTCAATAAAAACAAAAAAATACAAAAAATAAGAAAGTAGAATTTTCTAAAAAGAATTTTTGAAAAACTCTAACCAAACATGATTATTTTTCTTTCCTAATAATGACATTAATTTCAGCATTATTTAACAAAAAAATATTTAAAAACAAAAAATCAAATACAATCTTGATTATTATACAACCCACGCAACATAACGCAACACTTCAACAAATAACATTACGATTAGAATTTTAAGAGTTGTTTGGGGTGTGTGTACTTTTTATCTTTTTGAACTAAAAAGTTGAAGAAAAAAATATGATTGTTTGGGTTAACTTTTTAACTTTTTATGAAAAAATATGTATTAAAAAATTTTATAAATTAATGTGTAAGGAAAAATTAAAATTGAAAATTGTGCAGCCGTAATTGTTGACTTTTGGTGAATAGTGATAACTTTTTAACTTTTTAAATAACTTTTTGACTTTTTAATTTTTTTTAAACTACCCAAACTTGGCCTAATTTATATACCAACCCTTAAAATATATACAAATATATAAAATCATACAAAATCACAATTTATATAATATAATATATCTAAAATATATTTTTTATACTAATTTATATACAAACCCTTAAAATATATACAAATATATAAAATCATACAAAATCACAATTTATATAATATAATATATCTAAAATATATTTTTTATACTAATTTATATACAAACCCTTAAAATATATACAAATATATAAAATCATACAAAATCACAATTTATATAATATAATATATCTAAAATATATTTTTTATACTAATTTATATACAAACCCTTAAAATATATACAAATATATAAAATCATACAAAATCACAATTTATATAATATAATATATCTAAAATATATTTTTTATACTAATTTATATACAAACCCTTAAAATATATACAAATATATAAAATCATACAAAATCACAATTTATATAATATAATATATCTAAAATATATTTTTTATACTAATTTATATACAAACCCTTAAAATATATACAAATATATAAAATCATACAAAATCACAATTTATATAATATAATATATCTAAAATATATTTTTTATACTAATTTATATACAAACCCTTAAAATATATACAAATATATAAAATCATACAAAATCACAATTTATATAATATAATATATCTAAAATATATTTTTTATACTAATTTATATACAAACCCTTAAAATATATACAAATATATAAAATCATACAAAATCACAATTTATATAATATAATATATCTAAAATATATTTTTTATACTAATTTATATACAAACCCTTAAAATATATACAAATATATAAAATCATACAAAATCACAATTTATATAATATAATATATCTAAAATATATTTTTTATACTAATTTATATACAAACCCTTAAAATATATACAAATATATAAAATCATACAAAATCATGTAAAATTATAAAATAATACAAACTAATAAAATATATTTTGCCCAATCAAATGTGAAACACTTGGGACTTGTTTGGTTTATATCTGACGATACAATCTTCCAAAAAAAAAATTAAAAATTTTGTTTAGTTTCAAATTTTTTGAACAAAATTTCTAAAATCACTTTTTCCCTCTTACACATCAATCAATCATTTTTTCTTTCTCCTCTCTCATTCTCAATCACTTTTTCTCTCACACACATCTACTCAATTACAACAAAATATCAAATTATTCCAAACTCCAAAATTATTTTCAAAATATATAACCAAACAAACTAAAAAAAAATTCTAAAGTTCCTCCCCAATTTTTTTTAAAAAAATTTATCTCAAAACACAACCCAAAAACACCCTTAAACTCCGATCATACCCCAAAACCGCTTTCTGGTAGTACTGTAGTCGTTCGCTAGGTGGTTACTGTGTTCGCCATAGTTTACTTCATTGCGAGCAACAATACTAGCTAACCAACAACTTAGCAAAATTATGGGTTATCTAAGTCAGAAAAATCAGTAACTTTCTGACGGTCGTGGGTTGTTAATCTGTTAAAAAATGATGTAATATTATTTATTGATATTGATTGATATTGTAGTGTTTACATTGATTCCTATATATAGGAGGTGTGAAGTGGAGATGGTGGTGGTAGGTGAGGAGTAGGTGAGTGTAGTAGGTGAGTGTGTGGTAGGTGATGGTAAATTATACAATGTACATTAACATAATCAATGGCGACTCTTGTGGTAAGTTTAGTGGGAATTGGAGCTGCAGTAGTGTTCCGAGTGTTCATTCGGGAGTTAAAGCTATTGATTGGAATTGTAGGTCAGGTGGATCGTTTTGAAAAAGAATTGAGGTTGATCCAGTCTTCGTTGGAAGATGTGGAAGCCAAGGAAGAACCAGGTGAATATGGAAAGCAATGGGCAGATAAAGCAGGGGAAATTTTCCAGGAGGTTGAGGATATCATTGACATCTTTCTCAGTAAATCAGCTCGGTATAGGAGGAGAGGGACTTTCAAGAGTACTCTGTTTCTGCTTAACCATTTGCTTGACAGATTTAAACTTCGAATGAAGGTGCACAAGATTCGGCTCCAGATCCGTGATGTCTCTGAAAGAAACCCTAACCGTAACCCTCACCCTAAAGTGAATTCTCAAGTGGAACCATCCTCTTCTCAACAAGCTCTAATCACCCATGAAGATGTCCATGATGCCTGCACCACTGTTTTTTCTGTTATAGAAAAAATTAATATCATGGTGAGTCAAAAGTTTCTTATCAACAGGAAAGTGATACGAGGTATGGAACGCACGCGAGATGAATTTAGACATCTGTATGGTATTCTCATCAATGATTTCCAATTCCCCGTAGATGAAAGAAGAAAAGCTTGGTTGAAGGAAATAAAAGATGCTTCAGACTTGGCGCAACATGTCTTTGAATCCATCATTAAGAAAAGAAACAAACAGCTCAGAAAAGGGAGGATTTTCAAGGTTCCCTTGTTGTTTCTCAAAGATTTGGAGCTTAAAAAGGACCTGAAGCGGATCGATGTTACAATTCAACGTCTCTATGGCAGAAAGTGGAGATATGGCATCGGAGACTTTGAAGAACGACAAAGGCCGGCCTCAATGGTTCCTTCGAGATGGAGAGGATTGGTCTCTCTTGCTACCCAATTATTTATTTTGTTCTCCTTTCCTTTCCCAGCCGGTCTAGTTGCCTATTTAATTTTATTCATTCCCGCGAAGATTGTAATACACCAACTACAGGAGGCAGCTTCATGGCTGCAAGTGAAAGTGGATGATGAACTAGAGTCAATCAGGAGAGATTTGGTGCTAAAGCAAGCCTTACTTAAAGATATTGGCCCCATGGAAGACCTAGACAAGAGGGTAGGGATTTGGTTGAAGGAGTTGATAGAAATTCTTGACTGCGACGCTACGGATCTGGAAAAGTACATTGACAGAGCCAAAGCAGAACAAGAAAAAATGACAGGAATTTTCAGAAGGCCTTGTTTGATTTTCAGGAAAGTGATAGGTCGACCCAAAATCGCAAAAAAGATCATACGGATCAACAATAAACTCCATCATCTCTCTCGTAGAAAGTGGACCTATGACATTGGAAATTTTGAAGCAAGGAGAGACTCGTATGCTGAGAATCCAAGCCAACAACAGCATGTATTATCTACTTCTAATGATGCTGTTGAAAATCACAATATCAGAAGTTCACGACTCAAACTCTGGCCATCTAAAAAATTGGAAGAAAAAGTTGAGTCAATCAGAAATGAGCTGAAATTAATGAGTGCTTTGTTTGAGGATGTGGAATCAATGGAAAATCAAGATAGAAGACTGATGGTTTGGGTCAAGGAAATGAAAGATGTTGCTGGAGATGCACAGAAATTCAGCAACTCCTGTGCTGAAAATATAGAACAGAAAGGGATAGCTGCCTTCAAAAGGTGTTGCTTTGCTAAATTTGTGGTTCCAAGGGAAGTTGACAGGATCAAGCATCGTATCCGTAAACTTTCAAAAAGAAAGTGGACCTATGATGTTAGAGGCATTAAAGGAAGGAAAAGCCCAAGCTCTGTGGTCGAAATCCAACCTGAAAGCTCTGAGATTACTGCAACTAGTAATATTACTAATCTTGAGGGGGCTCCGCCTGTCTCCTTACATGCGAGGGAGGAGAGAGGACACTCAATCAATGGAGTTATATTTCGTAGTATTCAACAGCATATATTACAACTGATTCATCTTCAAGCAGCTGATTCAGTTGAAGAAAATGTTGAGTCAATCAAAAGAGACATGAGTCTTATGGATGCTCTATTTGAGGATGTAGGTGGGATTGAAATACAAGATAGAAGATTGAAGGCTTGGATAAAGGAAATGAAAGATGTTTGTCGTGATGCACAGCATGCTATCAACAACTACAATGAAATAACTAGAGGAAATTGTTGGAGATTCAAGAAGAGGTATGACTTGCATTTCGATGATTTAAATGCTCAAGTTCTAGGCAGCAATCATCTAATGTGAATCCTGACCAAGAGATCATTTTCCTCTTTTACATATGTTTTATTGTCAATCCAATCAAACATGGGATTTGATCTACTTACTCTATCATCAACTTTCATTTCATTATAACTAGTCCTTTCACTGGGGCAGGATTGATTTGTTGGATTTATTTTTCTAGTGTGGCCCAATAGCCTACATATTTTCTACATGTTTTAATTTATTTGGACTCCACAAATAGATAAAGCCAATATTTGAGATCAAGTTCAGTAAATAGAATTTTAATATAATCACTCTTCTAAGATGAGAAGGAAACCTTAATGGATTAGGAATTCTTCTGATAGTTTATCTGGCCCTCTTCTCTCCTCTATATAAGGATGGGTGACTCCCCTTTCATATCATGAGTATTTTTCCATCACTTTAAGTTTTATAAGCATCCTAATTAAGAGAGACAGAGAGAAGACGTTGAGCCAAAATTAAAGGTTCAACTCTAAGGGGTATTTTCTCAACTTCTCTAATTCAATGGCTGACAAAGGTATATATTCTTTTTATTCTTGAGTTGTATTGAATTCAAGATCCTGTTAAGTTTAATTCCGCATTATTATTATGGTTACATGTATTATTAAATCTTACATGTGGTATCAGAGCTTTAGTTTGTGAATCAATACACCTTGGAATAATAATATATTTATGAATATTGTTATTATATTATTATATTTTTCACAGACCAATTGAAACTTATCCCTGTTGTTGTTTCCCAATTCTACAGGCGGAAGATGGAAAAGAAGATCAAATTCATCATGAGTAAAATTCAAGATGCCTCTGAAAGAAGGTTGAAATATGGCGTTGAGCATATCAAAAGAAGAGAAGAGTTAGCCACTATAACTAGAAGCCCACATCATACTCCACCTTTTATCATTGAACAACCAAACGTCACTGGCTTTTTTGATGATGTACAAGCAGTGCTGGCTCAGTTGCTCACAAATGACAAAAATTGCTGCATCATTCCAATCGTGGGTATGGAAGGCATTGGTAAGACAACCCTTGCAAGATTGATTTATAACAATAACACTGTTTCAGACCATTTTCCTCGCCGGGCTTGGGTATCTGCGTCTTCATACTGCAATATTGAGGCACTCCTTAAGGGCATAGAAGAACAGGTTCTAATGGGGATTCAAGAACAGAATAGGAAACCAACTGTAGTATCAGATCTGAAAGAAAAGGTACTAATGGGACTCCAGGAACAGAAAGGGAAACAATTTGCGGAAGAATCGATGCAGATGCTATACGAAGTCTTAACATCTACTCGGTATCTCATAGTCCTGGATGATGTGTGGACAACTGAAGTCTGGGATAGACTGTTAAAAGAATTCCCAAGCACATTGCATGGTAGTAGAATTATCCTCACTACGCGTGATATTGGCGTAGCTGCTCATGCTAACCCAAAAAGTGTTCCTCACAAACTGCAATTACTAAGTGATGATGATAGTTGGGCTTTATTTACCCAAACTTTGACAATTCCTGATGGACTGCTGGAACAGAGCAAAAAAATGGTCACAAGATGTGGGGGCTTGCCTTATGCGATTGTAGAGCTGAGGAAACAATTTTTGGGAGTAGAATCCAGCTTCAATGCGTGGTCAAGTGTGTTTAAGAATCTTGATAATGGCCAAAAACCCTGGCTAAAAACACTAGAAGCTTTCAAAGTCCTGCCCTCGTACTTGAAGCGCTGCCTCTCTTATCTCAGACGATTTCCTGCAGGGTTTGAGATCCCCCTGAGAAGATTGATTGTGTTGTGGATTGCTGAGGGTGTAGTGCATCAAAGGAGAGGGGATGAAGATCCTCCTGAATCTGTAGGTGAGAGGTATTTGACAGAGTTGATAGACAGGAACATGGTTCAAGTAACAAAAAGGAAGCTGAATGGGGCTGTTCAGAAATGTCGCCTACCCCATGCACTTAGAGAACTCTGGTCGTTAGAAGCAAAGAAAGCTGTATCCCCTAAAAGCTACACAAGAAAGGGTTCCAAGATATCTCCACAGACTTGTAAAATTCATCATCTTGCCCACAGTTCTGATCAAACAGATGTCAGCTTTGATCATACTGATGGCGAGATCACAAATCTTTCTACTCCTTTATTACCTGGTGATAAACACGTCATCTCTTTTCGGTCATTTGATACTCGCGAGGGATCTCAACCCGGAGAAGAATTAGGGAGGTTTCTTGACCGATGGATTTCTTGTGGCTATTTCTTGTCAATGCGTGTGCTCGATCTTGAACGTGTATTTAGACCTGAGTTGCCCAAGTCACTCGGTGAACTAGTCCTGTTGAGGTACCTTGGCCTGAGATGGACTTATCTAGAGGATCTTCCATCATTCATAAGTGAATTGCTGAATCTCCAGACACTGGATTTAAAACATACTTCCATCAGCACTCTCCCTCCTTCAATCTGGAAGATGGAACTACTGCGACACTTATACTTGGATGAGAGTTATCGATGTAGATTTGTTCCTCGACCAGAATTCTACTCTCTGACAAACCTCCAAACATTATGGAGTGTTTTCATTGACGAAGACAGTCCAGTGAAGTTTGAGCTGGACAGGTTGATCAATCTGAAGAGATTGGGAGTGACAAGTCGGATAATGTCATCTAGGCGAGAGGCAATGTTGTCCCAACTAGAAGCAGTGGCTGACTGGGTTCAAAAACTAACTCAGCTTCAATATTTAAGGCTGAAATCGTTTGATAAACATGGTCAGCCTTGGTTTCTACCCTTAAAGCCTTTGTCTGCTCACACAAATCTGTCTAGTATATATTTGCTTGGTTTGATAGAGGAAAAATTTCTTGTGTATGGATTACCTTGGGCCTTAACTGACCTTACTTTGTCAGCATCAGGACTAAAAGAAGACCCCATGCGGACATTGAAAAACCTGCCAAACCTGAGAATTCTTAGGTTGTTCTCAAAATCTTTCATAGGAAAGCATATGCTTTGCTCTCCAGGAGGCTTTCCTCAGCTTCGAGTCCTTGCACTCTGGAAACTAGAACAGCTAGAGGAATGGAAGGTGACGAAAGGAGCGCTTCCAAATCTCATAGATTTGGAGATTAGATCCTGTACAAAGTTGAAGATGCTTCCTGATGGATTGCAAGATTTGAGGACCCTCCAGAAGTTGAAGTTAACAGATATGCCCAAGCAGTTCACAGATAGGATTACGGTTAACCAAGGTGAGGATTGGGATAAAATTGCACATGTTCTTCATGTCTATATTGATGATGTTTTGGTTGATGATGGTGAAATACCACTAAATATGGAACTGTTGAACTCCACAATCCATGAGAGACAGAAAATCTTCCTGAAGAGGTTAGTCTCAGCAAAAATCCAAGTAGACTCCTCTGAATGTCCCTTCTGCGGAGCGGAACCTGAATCTGCAGTCCATCTGTTCTTCTTATGCAAACCCATCAAGATGATTTGGTTTGCCAAGTTGGGTATTAGGACAGATGATTTCTCCCACCTATCATTCTCAGATTGGATCAACCATATTCTCACTCCATCCTTGATATTTGGAGTTTCTCCTCCAAGCAAGTCAGATTTTGTGCTTTTTGCAGTAATTCTCATGGAAAAAACTTGGCTTTGGAGAAACAGAGCTATCTCTTGCTGTCCAAAGGTTGAACCAGATACAATTTTGAAAGAAACTTGCTCAGCTTTCAATGATCGTGCAAAGCCTCAGCTTTCAGTGAACATGCAAGGGAGCTTCTGCTTCAATGACTAACTTTGGTGCTGCTTTTCAAGTGGCATGTCGATGTGTTATGGTGGCATTTCTACGACAGCTCGTATGGATCCTATCCATTCATTTGTTTTCATGGCCTGTTTTGTGTTTGATTTATGTATTCCTAAACTTATTGTTTGTGAGCCTGTTTTGTGTTTGATTTCTGTAATCCTAAACTTATTGTTTGTGAGCTTGTAGGCTCAACTAGTCGTGTGTAGCTTGTTTTGTTTCTTGTAGTTTTAATGGAGATGATGTAATCCACAAGAATACACAATTTTATTTCTAAATCACAAATTATTATTACTATTACCAAAAATTTCATATAATATTTATCATAAAAATACATATAATATATGCATTTTAAAAGATATATACCAGAGCACAACATGAGCCTAGCGGGCAAAACTTCAGACTTGAAATGTGCCCCTTCTAAATCTCAAATTTAATTAAACTGATTACTCAAGTCCTTCGTAACCACTTAAAGAATCAATCAAAACAAAACAACTCTATGTATGTATTGTCGGTGCGTGATTTGGACTGGTTGGTTTACTAAACAAACACATAGAAAGGGATATATCCACTATTCAACATATGAAAGTAAATATATGTAAATTACTATAAACTCATAATTTAAATCCTTAAAAATCATTTACAATGACATCGTACATAATTTTGAATATTTTTTTTTATATATATAACTGAGATTGCAGTAAATTAAAAAATTATCTATCATATCATTATAATTAAAATTATAGTGCATATTTTACGGGCCACAACTGTTTTTCGATATCCATATTGAATATTGTAATAATAAATAAATAGATTAATTACATTTTATACTTCTATAATTTGATTCAAATTTTATTTTAATTTTTATAGTTTGAAATTGAATAATTTAATTTTTTACACTTTTAAGGACTAAACAATAGTCAGAAAATTGATAAATGGCTTAAAATTATTAATTTTATTCTCCAATTTAAACAAAAAATACCAAATTAAAATGGGGAAATTGGCCTAAGGTTCCTCCTCTACTTTTGATAGGAGGAGAGGTCCAAAATAATATGTTTTGATGGCTAAGGTCCCTCAAATTTATTTTAGGTTATAAAGTACCTAAATTACCCTTCCTTTATAATATAAATTTGTTTGAATATTATATTGTTGACTTAACTGATAGATTTTGGACACGGAATTTGCAGTGGAGATTTCGTCGGAGTTTTCGTCGGAGATTTCAGTGGAGATTTCATGGTGGGGATTTCGTCGGAGATTTCAGTGGAGTTGACGAGAAAGATTGCTACAATCGTGTAGATTTCGTTGGAGATTTCGTCGAAGATTTCAGTGGTGTTACAGTGTGTTGATCGTGTAGATTTTCAGTGGAGTTGAATCAGGTTTGTTTTCGATGGAGATACCACATGCATTTTGATTTTTGTTTTGAATTTTTGTTTAGAGAGAGGCCAGTTTGATAGAGTTGATTTTTATTTTTGGAATTAATTTTTGATTCTTTGTTTTTTCATACTTACAGAATTTTACTCACTTTTGTTTTGTCCATTTCTTCTAGGCGATCCAGCACGCCTACTTCTTCGCGATGCATGCTTTTGACATTAAGAAGGAGTTGGTCAACAAGACCAAGGAGGCTGTTGGCTTGCTGAAGACCGTTAATAAGGCCGAGGCCAAGATAAAGACTTTGATAGATCAGGCTAAGACAGCCAAAAAAGCTTAAGACAAGGCCGAGGAAAGCGCAGGAGCTGTTGAGGCCATTGCCAAGGTTCTTGAAGTCGAGAAGAAAGAGGCCGAAACAATGACCGCCGAAGCCCAGGCCGAGCTCATTGCTGCCTTGGCCACAAAAGACGCCGAGATCAAAGTGGTAGACAAGAAAGCGTATACTGAGGGGGTAGTCGACGTCAAAGAAGACTACAAGAAACAAGTGAAGCAGGCATGCAACAAGGGTTTCGCCCTTGGTTGGATGGCTGCTCTGAAGGAGTTGGCTGTCCCTGAGGACTCTCCTCTCAAGAATGCTAGCAACCTCGTCCTGCCATTTCCTCCCTTTCCAAGCTAGTCTAAGGACAAGGCTGAGTCTGAGGAGGAAGCTGAGGCCAAAAAGTCCGAGAAGGCTGTGGATGCTAGGGCCAAGTCCCCAACTCTGAATGAGCAAGTCATGGACTTGACTTAGGATGAAGAGGACGAGGTCTCAAAAGATACCGCCTCCGAGAAGACAACATCTGACATGCCTATCACCGAGAAGAGCATCGACCAGACTCTCCAAGAGATCGATGCCGAGCTCGCGGCT